TTCTGTACTATACAATGATGAAAGTGAATATGAAAAATGCTGTAGAGAAAAGCTAAAGATTGAGAGGACTTAGGTCTAGTATGTCTTGTGCTGAAATATGAAGAGCAAAACAGGATGAGAGAAGAACACTTGGTAATGAAACCCTGTACTGTGGGAGATGCAATCTGTTCTCATATTCACTCATTAGCGGATTTGACAGTCTGTCTTTGTGTGAGCTCGTAGTAAAAACCTCGCTTCGCCATGAGCTCTGCATGTTTACCTGAAAGAAAGGATCTTAAGGCCAGCAATAGAAATGAAGAACATTCCAAGTCGTCAGGGAGGATTTCAAGGTTGCCGCCTACCATGCTTTTGGAAGCATAACTGCTATAATACCAATTCTCTTGTAAGCACTTATTAAAAGACACTATTCGAAATGGCGGATTGGGCGGAGTCAGAAGAGGGAGGACATTAGCTTACCCCTCTCCATGGCCGTGAAAGACGCGAAAAAGAGGGCTAATTACGTAAATTTCTGTCCGCACCTAGCAAGCATTCTCCAATGGGTTTCCATTTTTGAGTTTTTCTGCTTGCCTTTACTCAGGAGAATCCTGGTGAAGACCAATCCATTACAGCGTTGCATTGATAATGTCACGTTGCCTAGGTGTGAACCATTCCTTCGGCGACGCGGCAGATGGGCGTTGCAAGTGGGGTGACATGACGCAGCAGGACCATCCACTCATATTGTCGATATTGTTAGTTATGAAAGTATTATATATTGTTATATTATATATGATTATAGTATTATAAAGTATTATTATTGATATTGTTTATAGAAAGTTATAAAACTTTCGTATCGCGCCTGCCGGCGAAAACAAGCAGTTATCAAACAAAAAAACCGTCTAAGAAAATTCTCCCTTACCTGTACTGTCTGTAACTAGCTAAGCGGATCATTTTGATTTATGCGCGAGGCCAGCACTCAGACAAGCTCACACCATTTTGTACACTTTTGTACAGATGTTCGAGAAATTCGATTCCCGGTACTATTATTATTAAGCTCGCCTTTATTTTAAGGTGTTTACGCTTACCAAATTTATAGTATTAGACCAGAACTGCGCCAAGTAATAACTCTTCTGTTGAACGTGAACAATTCGAGTATGTCAGTGCCCGTGCGGGTAGTAGCAGCAGCTCTTACGATCGTATATCCCCATCACCTGGGCTTTGCAACATGAGTTCTAAAACGAATCGAACCTTGTTCAACTATCACACCGCCTTTTCAATGCGAGGCGATCGGGCGTTAATGACGATGAGCAATCACAATGCAAGTACGACCTTCACGAGCTCGATCCAACGCCTCTTGTACAACCTGAAATCATCGAACTATCACGAACTACAACAAAAAAACACCTTTTGTACTAGGAAAAGGACTGTTGATGGCATGCACAAGCATGGTTCCTGGTCCATACAATAATTCCCTAACTTAACGCGATGACGATAATTTGAGGCGCTCAGACTACTCATGATAGTACGTCTTGAACCAATTTGGTGGTATGCACCGGCGCAACCAAAGCTGCAAGGGAGAAAGGCAGGTACAGTCTTTAGAGCTATGTTAATGGCACGGTCCGCGATAAGGAACGTAGGTGTTTGCGGCGAAATGTAGAAGGGAAGTTGCCGAGTGACTCGTCCGTGAGGAGAAAATGCCAAAGGGAACGGCGGAAACACGTTCAATATGACCCCTTCAGCCTCAAACAATTGCACGCGTGAAATGCCAAAAAAAACCGCTTGCTGAGCGACTTCAGTTTGCCGACTCCTTGTAATGAACTCTATGACCCCACAAGAGACAATGTAGCATCCATTTCGTGCTACTTGTCCGGTAGCATCGCTTTTGGCTGGAAGGCGGCTTTGAAGGCGGAGTCACTGGAAAAAGGGAGGTACCACTGGAGCAATTTTGCAGCATAACTCCTACACCTTACAACTTTCAGCCGTAAAACTGGCACAGGGTTGTTCACTGCGGACCACACTACCTTCCCATAACGTCTTCTGCATTTTCATAGGTCATCGCGGACCTTTTCTTTAAGGAAGCCGCTCCGCCAACTTCTAAAGCACATCAGAGCCAAATGAAGGAACACTTAAAAGACGGGCTGAAGGCCTGGAGCATTTTTAGTCCGAATGAACTACTGGTAAAAGAGTCACGATAGCACCTGGATATCTACTTTGATATTACCTTTTCACTTTCCGTGTCCAAAGCGCTGGTCGCCTCATCTAGGAGCAGAATTTTCGGGCTCCTGACCAGAGCGCGAGCGATAGCGATTCGTTGCTTCTGACCACCAGAGAGCTGTGTCCCTTTATCACCAACACTTGTGTTGTAACCCTGAAAGTATTTAGATCTGTAATGCTTTCCCACACAACCTAGTTTTCCCTTACCTCAGGTAGTTCACTAATGAACGAGTGAATATTGGCTTTGCGAGCTGCAGTTTCGATCTCTGCTTGCGAAGGGCGTTCTGTAAGATTTGATATAGTTCCCAACTTTTTTCTTATAGAGGAGTTCCAGCGGATTGCTAACAAGCAGGGCAATTTACACTCACAAGGAGCCATAATTAATTACAATTTGTTAGGGATCTGTGCAGGGTAAAGTTCCGGTACACATTGAAACCCGGTGATTACCTTCCAATCCGTACACAATATTGTCCGCAATGGAGCAG